CGAACCCAACGAACCCCCCTGGCTACGGGCTTGTAGCAATTATTATAACAGCAGCATATCAATATTTTCAAGAGGAGGAACAAGATATTGATGGTCATGCTGACCTTATTTGCAGTTATGATATCAACAGCAACAGCAACATAACAACAGCAATATTTCAATATAGTATGCAAATGTTAGACACTCAAATAAATACACATTTCTCAAAACATTAAATTCCCATGGGCACAAGTCTTCATTGAAATCGATATTGCCGTTCGATGACCAGCGCTTTTAAAATAGCCAGTGGCATATTATTACTTGCCTTTGAAATCTACACTCGAAAACCAATGTCAGTGTAAATAGTGGAACAACTTTCTATTTATACGCCCCAGTGTTTTGTTTACATGCCACTACTTATATTTCGTAACTTGTGAGAAGAGACATCATACTATCTTCTTAATAATCTTCAAAGATGCCTGTGTATTTTTGAACACACTTTAGAAATATAGTGTAAATACCTGCAACTAGGCCTAGGTCAGTATAAATGCCTTGTACTTTTCAATTAGAATTCTTGAGGATTTCATTATTTTGTAGCATAACAGATTTGGAGACATGCCTAGGCCTAATGGTTAATGTACTCTCAGTTGCAGTCATCTGTCGTAGATCCGATGATGTCACTATTCGCTTGTCCCCGAAATATGCAAATTACTTACCAATGTTTCACAGAATGAGTACGTACCAGTTAAACTAGCATTAAAGATGAATCGAGCGTGGATGTGACAAATTAAAACAGATTTACAGAACATTGAACTCAACAATCGATACATGCCCCACTCATAAAAAAGACGAGGTAGGGAAAGCGCGAAATCATGATTTATTAAATATTAGAAAGTAATAATAGACCTAAATTAATATATATCATCCTATTTTTTTTACATGATTTATCTACAGTTTAGGCAAATTTGTTTGATAATAAAATATGATATTTTCCAGCTTGAATTTTGAATCATATATTTACGAAATTAAATATTGTTGTTTTCAAAATACAAGGACTCGACTATATGTTTAAAAAAATACGTTGTGGGCAATAAATAAAATAATAAATAAATAAATACATAAATAAATAATCATTAAAATATTAATTTAAACGGATCAAATTAATAAGATATCGTTATCATCTTGTATTGAGTTTCATATCGAAACACATTCTGATTAATAGAAAATATATTTATATTAAATTGATTTTAGGAATGGTTTTAAATATAGGCATTGTCTTTAACTACACGATACATTTTGCAAATAAAAATTTGTCGATGACAGTCAGTGACATGTGTTCAAGTGGCTTCGGTGGATTTTAGAGTCATTTGTGAATATTACAATGAGATGCGCCTCCATCACAGCCAACCACAGTCATGAAAACTCAGAATTGATACTATCACCTCCTTAACGAGGTGTCCTAAATTTCTCAAGTTCAGATTAACAATTTGTGTGATGCGAAACTAAGTCTCTCCGGTCATTATGAGGCTTAAACAGGCTATTTTGAGTTGTGTTTTTTATTTAAGAAAGAAAAATACTGTAGTTTGAAATTATGAACCCCAAAATAAAAGATGAGAACCACATTATAGCTACAGAATTAGGGAAACAAAATCATTTTTTAACATAAACTCTATTTATTCCAATAATCATAGCGGCTCTTAGGCTAACATTTTCTTTTCTTCAGCGCGTCGTTTGCCTGAAAGCAACACCAAACGAGAGGACTCTAATTAGTGAGTGCTTTAAAATGTAGTATTGAAGGCCTAACATTATTGCTAATATGCGAGTGAGAGAAATCGGGTATTTAATCAGGTATTCCGTTGAAATGAAATTATAATAGCACGTTGCGCTGTGACGTTTGTTGAAATAGAATACAATTATTTGAAGAGATTTCAGGTAAATTTACTCCTTTTAATTAATTGTTGTGACGATAATTTTATTTTCCTCTACACCTTTGTCTGTCACTACGAAGCTGTCGTAACAACGATGTACACAATAGAGGGCAGCAGACTTCCATTATCTTGTCTTAATTTATACTGCGGATTAATTTTACCATAGGTCGATACTTTCTCCATAAATTTAGTTAAGATAAGACATGAATATTTTTTTAAACACCGATTTGTGTAACATCTCTTTAAAAAAAAAAAAACCGATTTATGATTTTGATTGATCAGATCAGAAATAGATGGTGTGTGGGAAGAAATTTGTCCATTAGAAATTTCAATAATAGAGAGGTGCGAACTAAATGAATTATGTTCATATGGGTTTTTTTTAATCAATTCACATTTCCTCTCCATTACTTATAATTAATATAATTACATTATCTTCATCTATTGCTATTTACTGTAATTAATTTTTTTTTATTATCAAATTGCTATTATTACTTACATAATTATATTACATTGTCCTTGTTATTTATTTACTTTTGAATTTTATAATGTATTTTTGCGTTGTGTGAAATAAAA